AAAAAAAATTAGCCAGGTGTCATGGCATGCATCTTTAGTCCCAGGCTGGGGCAGGATTGCTTGAGCTCAGGAATTTGAGGTTGCAGTGAGCTATGATGATGCCACTGCATTCCAGCCCAGGGGGACAGAGTGAGATTCTGTCTCAAAAAAATAAATAAATAAAACCTAAAATTAGCCAGATGCAATGATGCGCACCTACATTCCCAGCTTCTCAGGGGCCTGAGGCAGAGGGATGGGTTGAGCCTAGGAGTTTAAGACTAGCCTGGGCAAGATACTAAGACCCTTTTCCAAACAAAACAAAAAACGATTAATCTTCAAATCATAAGTAATCAGTAAATATTTTTGAATATACATTCATATAATTGAGTTATCCTACTTGAATCAAAAGAAAATCACAATATGTAGGAAGGTAATAATTTGTCTTGTAAAAGTTTTTTTAGACTATATATAACGGCTTATAAAGAGTTTGCTGCAAGTTTGGAACTGATTTGGGGAAAAAAGAATGAATATACTTTTGAGAAGTCTTCATTGTAGGAAGTCTTTAGTGTTTGAAACTCCCAGACTTCTTAGGAAAGTGAATACTGTGCTTATATACATATATTTAAATAGGTTTTAAAGTATTGGTTTTCTGTTTAGATAAGCCATCACAAAACTCAGAAAATGAACAAAATTCTGTTACCCTGGAAGTCCTGCTTGTGAAAGTTTGCCACAAAAAAAGAAAGGTAATATATCGTTGGTAGATGAAGTGGAATAATTTTCTTAGTTGAACATGTTCATGTATGAATACTGTGTTTTAAAGTCAATTTTTAACCTGTAAAAGCTTAAGAAATATGTTGATGGCTGAATTGTAAAACCGATAACCTCTTTTTGCCAACCTCCCATGTTTTTGTGTTTTTTTTCCTAGTCTGACTAGGTGTCCATACAAAACTTTCCTATAGGAGTCTGGAAATGAAGGGAAGAAGCTATGTTTTAGAATCTTATGGCATAAATTCAGTTGCTTCCCTGCCATTTCAGCCTCTTAGCTATGTGTACCTGTTGAAATTTTAGATAAGGGCTAAGAGAGAATTTTTTCCCAAAAGATTATCTTTTTTAACACTGCTGTTAGGCAAAGAAATTCTCTTGTCAGCGTTATCAGCCATTAACTTATTAACACATGCTTCACATTTTTATTTATAAGGTGAAATTATTTCACCATAGAAACAAGTATTACAGTATTTCCTGGTCAACCCATCAAAGCCAACAGATGTACTTTTAGGAGCCTTAAGTTCTTGAATCTTTCAAGAGGAACAGGAACCTGTGTAGAGCTTCCCATTGCTGATGTGCTTCAAGATCATAGTAAGGTGATAAGGGGCTTGGCAAACTGCTAAAGCATTGGTAGGAAGTGGACTAAAGCGCTAGGAGGCAGCAGTGTAATTTTATATATATTAAAAAGTTTCTGTGGGCATGCATGGTTGCAGGTACCTGTTGTCTCAGTTACTCGCACCAGCAGTTTCACTTACTCAGAAGGCTGAGGTGGGAGTATCACCTGAGCCCAGGACTTCTGGGCTGTAGTGCACTATGCCGATTGAGTGCCTGCACCGAATTTGGCGTCAATATGATGACTTCCTGAGAGCAGTGGACCACTAAGTTACTAAAGAGGGGTAAATTGGCCTAGGTTAAAAACAAAGCAGGTCAAAACTCCCATGCTGATCACTTGGGGGATTGCACCTCTAAATAGCCACCGTACTGCAGCCTGGGCAACGTAGGAAGACCCTGTTCCTTTAAAAAAAAAAAGTATATGTGAAGTTAAGATACATCATTCCTTACTGCCTCCTAACCCCCATACACGTTACAACAAGCAGTGATATGATGAAATTTCTTTAAGATACATTATTCAGGGAAAAAAAATGTGAATATAAGTTTAATATTTTCGTGTTTCAAAAAAAATAGGCATAAACAGTTTCTTGGAAGGATGTATACAGCCAATTGACTGCTATTAGTCATCTCTGGAGTATAAGACCTGGGAGGGTGGGTGAGACTTACATGTTTCATCATTTTACACTTTTTTGTAAAGAGTAGAAATGTTTTTAGACCATAAGCACGTATTCTGCTTATTTTAAAAGAAGATATAAGATTTTTACTATATTCCCCTGATAAAAAGATCTTCTGCATCTTCCAATTTTTCTACTGTGCTCTTTCAGCATAACTAGTTATATGATAACAGAACATTACTCAAAAGATGATCAATATCCTTTCTATTAGATAGCATTTCTAAATATGTGGATTTACTGTTTCATAATGTAATTGTCCACCCTGGGGTTCTCGTTTCTTTTTTTTTTTTCCCTTAAGAGAGCTCAGACGTAGTCTTTTTTCATTTCTGGTCCCATAAGTTATTATTATGTTAAAATAGAAAATTTAAGGGAACTGATGAAGTTACCTGAGTTTAATATTTTAAGCACAGTTTTAATTCCATATTTCTAATATAAAACTATTTCAGATGACCATCAGCTACCTATTGTTGATATACTGTGTCATGATATTTTCATTATATTGGAGAAAGTCATTGCTTTAATATTTGGTATACAGTTGTTCCAAATTTTCATTTTTGCTTCACAATTTTCAAAACTATGGTTAGAATTTTAACATGCCATTTGGTAATCATGACCTATTCCATGTTTCCTATAGCTGTGATTAGAAGTTTTATTGTAATTCATATTGCCTATGTATAAATATAATTTAATAATCTTTACCTTTGCAGGATGTAAGTTGTCCAATAAGGCAAGTTCCCACAGGTAAAAAGCAGGTGCCTTTGAATCCTGACCTCAATCAAACAAAACCTGGAAATTTCCCGTCCCTTGCAGTTTCCAGTAATGAATTTGAACCTAGTAACAGCCATATGGTGAAGTCTTACTCATTGCTATTTAGAGTGACTCGTCCGGGAAGAAGAGAGTTTAATGGAATGATTAATGGAGAAACCAATGAAAATATTGGTAATTTTTATTTCAGTAATTTTACTAGATTTTATCATTGGTGATAAAAGTGGTTATTGAAAGTGACTGAACCAGTATACCTTCATAGTATTCATAGTTGTGTATAAAGTTTTTTTTTGAAACCTTGTCTTTTTTCCAAGGTTGGAAAGAGTACTGTTTTACATAAATCTCTTAGCAAACAGTGAACTCATCCCCCCCCACATTTTGTTGTGAAAATTTTCAAACATAAAGGACTGTTGAAAAAGTTTTATAGTCAGCCCTTATCTACTTACCACTTATATTCAACAATGAATACTTTATTATACTTATCACATATCTATCCCTTTACCTATCCCTCTGTTCTTCCAGTAATGCTGAATTCATCTTTGAGGTAATCATTCAACCAACGTACAGGTGCTGGGGATACAAAGATGATTAAAATATCAAGTCCTGTCCTCCAAAGGTTTACAACCTAGGGTGGGGAGAGAGACATGAAATAAGTAATTGCAATAAAATGATAAGTGTCATCATATGTCTCATATATATTTACACATATCTATGAAATTCAGTGGAGAAGCACCTTGTAAGAAATAATCTGTGAATCTTGAAGTATCCTTTGGAGTTCCTAAAAAGTAACCATAATTACATGTCTTCAGTTCTAAAAAATAAAAAGTAACCATGAGGAGGAGTTTGCCTAGCAAAGATTATTCCAAACAGAAATTAGCTTTTGCAAAGAATGTCAAAAAGTATGGACAGGATGGGTGTGGTGGCTCATGCCTGTAATCCTAGCACTTTGTGAGGCCATGGTGGGAAGATTGCTTGAGGCCAGGACCTTGAGACCAGCCTGGGCAACATAGTGAGACTCCATCTCCACAAAAAATTTTTTAAAAAATTAGCCAGTCATGGTGGTATATGTCTACAGTCCTAGCTACATGGGGGGCTGAGGCAGGAGGATTGCTTCATCCCAGGAGCTCGAGGCTGCAGTGAGCTATGATCACACTACTATACTCCAGCCTGGCAACAGAGTGAGACTCTGTCTCTGAAAGAAAAAGAAAAAAATAAACAAGTGAGGACATACACAATATGGTAAAAATATGAAATTGAAAAAAGTGTGATCTAAATATTCCAACTTTAGTGTAATTTGTACCTCAATTGTGATAAATGTAGTGTGTTTTTATGTTAAGGGACCATATATCATAAATAACACATTTTTGTTTCAATATTTGATTTATGAGAAATGTTTGTTAAATTTAGATGTAAATGAAGAACTTCCAGCCAGAAGAAAACGAAATCGTGAAGATGGGGAAAAGACATTTGTTGCACAAATGACAGTATTTGATAAAAACAGGTAATGTTGATGTAAAGCTCCCATAATATTCTAGAAATGTTTTCATTCTGAAGCAGAATATAGTGGTGATATTGATTGTTTCTTTACCTTTGTTTTTCTTCATTGTTAGGAATAAAAAAACAAATTTACCAAAACTGAATTTTTTTCTTTATCATATAGAAAGCAATAAACATGGATAAGGAACTATTCGAATGGCTTAGTTAAGATTCTTTATTCAGCAAGTATTTTCTGAGTGTTTACTCTTTGCCAGACACTGTTCTAGGCAGTGAGAAGGCAACAAAGTCCTGCCTTCATGGAGCTTAGTTTCTAGTGGACGAAACAGAACACCCCCCAAAAATATCAACTAATGTCACTTAGTGGTGAGTGAAGAAAAATAGAGAAAATAAATGGTTACTGTTATATAGAGAAAGCCTCTGAGAGGAGATAATATTTGAACAGAGATTTTAATGCAAATCTTGGAATGTGTTTATTAAAGTTAAGGGGGAAAATTGTGTATCATCATCATGTGCCTATGTGCATTTGGCAAAGGGTGACAAGGAACACTGGGGCTTAAAATCATCTCTGCACTGTCTGCATGGAAATGAAGCATCTGAGCACTGGTAAAAGAATGCCTTGGAAGCAAATGCAGCATTCTTTTTTCCCAGGATTGGAGGATGAAACCAGTAACATGCCATGATTTCTTGTACCAGGTTGCTTGCTGGTAGTTAACACAGCTCACTGTCAGTCAGGTATAGGAGAAAGCCAAGAGAATTAACTGGGCCATTCTTTCTATTTAAAAAGTAATAGATTGGTGCTTTAAGGTATTGATCATTTGTTAGCCACCAAGTGAAGAAAGGTATAAAATTCTTACTAAAAAAGCAAAAATGATTTGGAATAGTGACAGATTTCAGTGACCATCTTGTGTTAGAATATATCACTTAATATTACTGATAGAAACCAATATATAGTGTCTTTGAAAAGTCAGATTTGATTATGGAGCAGAGATTTAAATGGAAAACAATAGAAACATAAATGTACTGGAAGATAGTGGTTATGTGTGTGGCAGAAGTGATTAGGAGGAGGCGCACTGGGCTTCATCGATACTGTTAAGTGTGTTTTAGGCAGCGTGGGGGTATGTTGTGTTTTCTTTTTTATTCTTTCTACCTCATGTATATGTTAACATGTTCCTTGAGCGAAAGAAATACTGCTTTTATTTTCAATGAAAAAAGTACCAAGAAGAACCCATGATAATTTTTCCCTAGCTTTTTATTTTGAAAATTTTCAAACCTATAGAAAAGTTGAAAGAGTAATATAGTCATTTAATATCCACACACCCTTCAGCTAGACTCATCAGTTGTTAATGTTTTGCTACATTTGCTTTATTTGTGAGTGTATACTTGTTGAGCTGAGAAAGTTTACTTCATTCCTCATGTTTAAACCCTTCAGCATGTATTTCCGAAGAACAATGACATTTCCCTGCATAACCACTATATAGCATTCATTGAGAAAATCAGCATCCAGCAAATGCAATGCTATCCCCCAGTTGACCTCAACAATGTCCTTTATAATTTGCCATCCTCACCATTCAGTAGTTAGATATCACATCCGTCCAGACTTCATTGGAATAGTTGTACAGTCCTCCCCACCTTTTTTTAAAGTACAGGCCTATAGTTTTGAAGATTGTATCTCAACTTAAAAAGACTCGTGTGATTATTTCCTCGTGATTAAATTCAAGTTAAATATTTTTGGCAGGGATTCTAATAGATGTTGTGTTCTTTATATACCACATCACAGACACAAGGCAATATTGGATTTGATCACTTGGTTAAGGTGGTGTTCACCATGCTTTTCCATTATAACAGCACTTCCCTTTCATAAATTAACATGTCATCCCTATGGTAATACATGAACTAGGGTGAATATCGATTTTCCCCCAGTAGCCTTTCATGCAATAGTGTTAGCATCCATTGATGATTCTTGCTTGAATAAATTATTCTTTTGGCAGTTGGCAAATGGTAATTTTCTATAATTTCTTGCACACTAATTAGTTTGCATTTTTCTATAAAGAAGAGCCTTTCTTGCCTCAACTTTGATTTATTTTTATCAATATGGATTAATCAATTTTATTTTTCAATTTCTGTTCATCTATTCATGTTGTTAATCATTTTAATACTCAAATTTTCCCAAATTTTGTCAGGAGGAACCCCTCCAGGCAGGATCCTTTTGACTTTAGTTTTTCATTATTTTCTGGAATAGTAAGATATTCCAGAATTACCTTCTTTTCTACCTCTGATCTGGAATTGTGTTTCCTTCAAGAAGTACTGATTCCTTTTAGTAGAGGAATACTATTTATAAGCCAAAATCTGAGAGTTAGATTTATAAAAATTGTTTTTAAAATCTCAGGTTAAAATCTCCTGAAAGAATAACCAAAATTCAAAAGCCATACAGGAAATATTGAGCAAAATAAAAATCAAAAACTTCAGAACACAAAAAAGCCATCGTAACGTAAAAGTAAAGATGACAAATTGAGGGGAAATTGTTTTGAGCTCATAGATGGATGTCTCATTCTTCAAATAGAAAAAGACCACAGCCCAATAGAAAAATCGACAAAGGATACACTAAAAACTACCAAAAAAAGAAAATACATACAATTCTAAAACAATTAAAAAGATGAGACATCAGCATTAAAAGTACACTGAGATGTCATTTTTTCACTTATCAGATTGACAGACATCAAAAAAACTTGGTAAAGCACTGTTGATGAGGCTGTGAGGGAAAAGCCTCCTCATACATTACAGGTAGGAGAGTACATTGGGTTGTAGCTATTAAATGGACTAATGTAGCCATGAGGAAAGCTCCTTTTTAATTTAGAAGTATATGAATATATTACCTAGTCAAATAAATAAATTAGCTCTTAAAGTGGAAAGTCCAAAGCTTTGCTGATGCACTGTTGAAGTAGACTAAATTCAGATAGTATAGCATAGAGAAAAATATAAAAATTCTTAAGTCTCAAAATCATTTGATATTAAGAGCCAGACTTTAGGGACAGACTATCTGGATTCATTACTGTATCTCACTATTTACTGTGTGATCTTAAGGCAAGTTACTTAACCTCTTTGTGTCTCAGTTTTCTCTTCTGGAAATGGAGGAAACAACAGCTAGTTCACAGAGTTATTAAGAAGATAAAATGAGCCATGTAAAGTCTTTAGTATAGTGCCTGGCACATAGTAAATATTTGATAAGTGTTAGCTATTATTATGTAATAGAATTTATCTAAGACTGATGAAGAGAAGCCAGATTCTTGCTATTGTTATATACAATTAAATTATTGAGTGTGGTTGAAGAATGCTGTTTAGAGTAGTAGTGGTTACCAGTGTTTAAAAGTATGGAAAAAAATCTATAAACTATATATGCACACATTAAAACTATATATAATTATACTGTATGAGTATAATTCTTTGATTCAACCAGTATTTCATTTATTCATTCATCCATGAAATATTTATTGAGCACCTATATGTGCCAGGTGCGCCCAGTATCCTGTCATTACCAGATTCATCATTGTAATCATCAATTAGTTTACTGGTCAAGTATAAAAGTAAAGGATTCTAGTTCAAACATTTATAGTAGTTAAAATTAACAGGCATTATTCTTAGTGGTTCCCCAAGGCAAGTATTGTGACACTTTTGTTATCCTGTCTTTAAAAGTAGAAAGCCTGCACACATGCTTTATATTTAATGTTTGAAACTTACCAGGTTTTGATACCTTAGGCATATTATACTACAGTGTTTAAAGTTGTATCTGAGTAGGAACAATAATGAAATAATTGTCTACTTAATAGTTATTAGTGCACATCATTAAAATTGCTTTTATCAGGACTGCAGTGTAGATATATTTTAAAATCTTGGGTATATAAGCTAATTTATAAATTTAATAAATGTTTTTTATTATAGTATAAATCTAAAGATGTAGAATTTGTGTACTTACAGTAATACACAGGTTACTTTAAAGTATATGTGTTTGTCTAACAGGCGCTTACAGCTTTTAGATGGGGAATATGAAGTAGCCATGCAGGAAATGGAAGAATGTCCAATAAGCAAGAAAAGAGCAACATGGGAGACTATTCTTGATGGGAAGGTATGGACTACTTAGAAGGCTGACCACGTTATAGTTATGAACTCCCATTTTTGATTGGTGTTTTCTTCCCCAAATGCTAATTCATGTTGGAAGTAAAGAGTCCTTCCTTTTTTATACTTTGAAAAACACACGTAAAAATTATCTAGTCAGAGTATTTAATGAAAGGCATCATTCTTTTAAAGCCAGACTGCCTGATTCAAATCTCTGCTCCTAACCATGTGGCATTTGGCAAGTTACTTTATTTGTGTCTCAGTTTTCTCATCCGTAAAACGAGGCATAGAATTGATGGATTGAATGAGATAATTAATAAAATATGTTTAGTACAGTGCCTGGCATACAGTAAGTGCTCAATAAATGTTAACTGCTATTTTAAATCCCATTCATAGCAATAGCAGGTAATATATGATGATTAGTAATACATTTGCCAAGAAATCTATAAAACTTAGATGGGGCATACTTAAAATAACTCTTCTAAAAGATAAACAGGCATACCCATTATACAGTACTTGAATAGGCAGACTCAACAAAATATAATGATGTCCTTTATTTCGAAATATATTAGGTCAGTGTACTATCCCAAGCAGAATCTCTAAAGGATTTTTTTAAGCCTTAAAATTAGTCTCAGGTTAATCTAGAAGAGTAAGTATGTAATAATACTAAGGAAAATTTGGAAAAGTATTCTGAGAATTTTTATTTACCAAATAGTAGAACATACCATAAAGTTAAAAGAACTTACGTTGTATGGTATAAGCATATGAATAGACAAACATACCATTGAAGCGTAGTCCTGAAATAGTTTGATATATATTAGAAATTCAGTTTATGATAAAGGTGGTGGTGTAGATCTGTGTGGGAAAGACAAATGTTCATTAATAGTGACAGAACTTGTCTCTAGCCATCTGGAAATAAACTTACACCTAATAAATTCCAGAAGGCTCATAAACATCATGTAAAAATTAACACTCCATAACGTCAAAAAAAAATACAGATGAATGCTAATCTTGCAGAGATGAAAACCCTTCTAAGTATGATACAAAAGCCAGAAAACATAAAGTAAAAAAAAAAAAAAAGATGCCTGATTAAAATTATAATTTCACTGGGCACAGTGGCTCATACCTGCCATCTGGTGACTCAAGAGGCTGAGCTGGGAGGATCATTTGAGCCCAGAAGTTCAAGATCAGCCTGAACAATAGAACAAGACCCCATCTCTTAAAAAAAAAAAAAAAGGAAAAAACTAGCTGGGCATGGTAGTGTGTTCCCTATAGGCCCAGCTGCTCAGGAACGTGAGGTAGGACGATCATTTAAGCCCAGGAGTTGAGGCTGCAGTGAGGTTTAATCATGCCACTGCTCTCCAACCTGGGCAACAGAGCAAGACCCTGTCTCTTTAATTTAAAAAAAATCGTTTTTTCCCCCTGGCCCTTGCCCCATTATTTTTTTTGTTTTGTTTTTTTAGTATTTAGGTCATTGATGTAGCCCCTCAACAGAATATTTTCTTGAGACAGGGTTTTGCTCTATTGCTTAGCCTGGAGTACAGGGGCATCATCATAGTTCACTGCAGCTTCAAACTCCTGGGCTCAGGTGATCCTCCTGCCTCAGCCTCCTGAGTAGCTGGGACTGCAGGCACGAGCCACCACGCCTGGCTACTTTTTAAAAAGTTTTTTTTATAGAGACTGGGACTTGCTATGGTGCTTAGGCTTGTCTTGAACTCCTGGGCTCAAGCAATCCTCCCGCCTCGGCCTCCCAAAGTACTGGGATTATAGGTGTGAGCAGCCAGAAATAATTTCTGTACTGCAAAATTTAAAGTTCAAAACAAATGATGATGAACTGGGGGGAAATATTTGTAATACCAAATGCTAATATTATGAATACCTAATACTATGAGTTTTATAAATCAGTATATGAGCTATATAAATCAGTAAGAGAAAGATAAGCAATCTCCTAAGAAAAATAAATAAAGGACAGGCACTTCTTAAAAGAACAAATATAGAAAGACCAACAAACTTAAAAAGATACTCAATTTTATCAGTATTCAAAGACATGCAAACAAAAGCAGAGATACTACTTTGACTACTAGTTTGACAAAGATTAAAAAGATTGACAGCTTCTCGTGTTGTTAGGAATATGAGGACACATACTCTCAAATAATACTTTGATGTAAGAATAAGTTGGTACAGTCTTACTGCAGGGCAGATTGGCAATATATATAAAATTAAAATCGTATACATAGTCTTTAACAATTAAATCCAGTTGTACAGTTTTATCACAGAGTTGTAACTGGTTAACTGAAAAGACATAGGTAACAGGTTTTCTCAACATTTTTTAAATAGTGAAAAATTGGAAACAACTTAAATCTAAAAAGATAGCCATTAAAAAGGCTGACTGACAAGATTTACATAATTTAACTTTTACATAATACTATGTATATGTAATCCTACTTTTTCTAGGATTCATAATAGTGGTTAACTCTAGGTGATGGGATTTCAAATAATTTTTTTATGCTTATCTATAGTGTTTGAATTTTCTGCAGGGATTTATAATCTTTTGGTTTTAAATTTATTTATACTCGCCATCAAATTGGTACTAACTGATCAACACTAGCTTGATCACATGGCAGAAATACTCCCTAGGGATTAGAGGGATGGGGGCGCAAATCGACAACTAAAGGACACAGGGAGCACTAAAGGGAGGGAAGGGCATGCCTTTAACCCGCACTTGGGTGAGGCAAAGACATAAAGTGTAACTATAATGTTTGTACCCTCACAATACCCTGGAATAATAAAAAAAAAAAAATTTCTTTAAGTACATTAAGTTTATTCATGAGAAAATAAGGATTAAATCTCTGAGTTGTTCTTTCCAAGAAATTGTTGACAGCAATATAAAATGAACTTTTTATGTTTACTGGTTTATTATAAAGGATATTACAAAGGAAGAGATGCACAGAGTGAGGTATGGGAGCAAGGGTGTGGAGCTTCTGCATCCTCTCTGGACGCACCACCCTCCAGGAACCTCCATGTGTTTTGCCATCCAGAAGCTTTCTGAACCCTGTAAAATAGACATCCTTTTAAGTCAGAGCATACACATTTTTTTTTTTTTTTTTTTTAGAGACAGCTTCTCGCTCTGTTGCCAAGGCTAGAGTGCCGTGGTGTCAGCCTAGCTCACAGCAACCTCAAACTCCTGGGCTCAAGCAATCCTCCTGCCTCAGCCTCCCAAGTAGCTGGGACTACAGGCATGCACCACTATGCTCGGCTAATTTTTTCTATATATTTTTAGTTGTCTGATTAATTTCTTTCTATTTTTAGTAGAGACGGGGTCTCGCTCTTGCTCAGGCTGGTTTTGAACTCCTGAGCTCAAACAATCCGCCCGCCTCGGCCTCCCAGAGTGCCAGGATTACAGGTGTGAGCCACCGCGCCCGGCCCAGAGCATACACATTTATAACTTCTAAAAAATTCAGTTGGGTGTGGTGGCTCATGCCTATAATCCCAACACTTTGGGAGGTCGAGGAGGGAGGATCACTTGAGGCCAGGGGTTCAAGACCAGCCTATATAACATAGTGAGATGCCCTCATCGCTACAAAAATAAAAATAAAAAAATTAGCCTGGTGTAGTGGTGTGTACCTGTAGTTCCAGCTACTCAAGAGGCAATCGCTTGAGCCCAGGAACTCAAGGTTATGTGAGCTATGATTGGACCACTGTACTCCATTCTGGGCGAGAAAGCAAGACTTTGTGCCTTTTTTTTTTTTTTTTTTTTTAGAGACAGCTTCTCGCTCTGTTGCCAAGGCTAAAGTGCCCTCAAATTCCTGGGCTCAAGTAATCCTCCTGCCTCAGCCTCCCGAGTAGCGGGGACTACCGGCACGCACTGCCATGCCAGGCTAATTTTTTCTGTTTTTAGTAGAGACGGGGTCTAGCTCTTGCTGAGGCTGATCTTGAACTCCTAACCTTAAGCAATCCTCCTGCCTTGGCCTCCCAGTCACCTCGCCTGGCCAAGACTTTGTCTCTTGAGAAAAAAAAAACTCTGTGGTATTCTTTTAAATATATGTCCCATAATTTACAAAACCAGTGCTGGTTTAATAGATAATTGGGTTATTTAAAAAATTTTTTGTGTGTTCTGTGTAACAAGTATATTCATGTCATAGTGAATATACTATGCCTGTATATTTTTGTGTTGCAAGTATTTTTATAAGATAAATTCCCAGATACTGACTTACTGTGTCAAAACCCATTTCTGTGATCACACTTTGACTTCATTCTAGTCTAAAATTATCATTTGCTGGTCCAAAGGTAATGAGTTATCACAGTGGATTGTTATAGAGCAAACTCCTTGTTACTACTACTCTTTCCCCTTTTCTCACTGCTGCACTTGATTAGTCTCTTCCTTTGTAATATCCTTTATAAATAAAATCATAGTTTAAGAGGATAATTTATAATAAAGATGTAGCAGTTTAAGTTTATATGGCAGTAAAATAAATTGGAGCCCATTGAAGGTTTTTATAAAAGAGAATAGAATGAAAGCATCTTTCGGAATATTATTTGCTCTCCTATATCTGGAAAGGTAAATGAAAATTAGAAGCAGGGAGAACAACTTACATATTGTAGTAGTAAGAATTTGTACAAAGGTTTTTGTTGTGATCGTTGAAGAGAGAGGAAGAAATGATAGAGAATTTTAAAAGGACTTGGTAATTGGTAAGAGAAACAAAAGAAAGCATAGGGGTCAACTGTAATTCCAGACTTTTTAGCTTCAGGTCACTACAGAATGACAGTGCTGGGAAGAAAAATAATTGTACTTGGGAAGGAAAGGTGTTTTTTGTTTTATTTTGTTTTTTTGACAGTGTCTTGCTCTGTCACCTGGGCTAGCATTCCATGATGCAGTCACAGCTCACTGCAGTCTCTAACCTCTAGGCTCAAGCAATCCTCCTGGCTCAGCCTCCCAAGTAGCTAGGACTATAGGCGCCCACCACCATGCCCGGCTAATTTGTTTATTTTTTGTAGAGACTAGATCTCATTATGTTGCCCAGGCCAGGTATCTAACCCTTGGCCTCAAGTGTTCCTCTTGCCTTGGCTTTGCAAAGTGCTAGGGTTATAGGCGTGAGCCACCATGTTGGACCAGAATGTTTATTTTAGAAAAAAGATAATCTCCCTGGTGGTCATAGTGGCTAGAATTTGGCACTTTCACTAATTAAAAAAAAAAAAAGATGATGGATTCACTTCTAAACATGTTTTATTTAGTTCTAGGTGACATTGAATTAAATGTCCAAGAGGCAGTTGGAGGGTAGGGGTGTAGAGCTCAAATATAAAGATGAGAATGGAGAATCAATTTAGGATCATCAGCCTAGTATAGGTAAATCCTTTAGGATGGGTAAGAGATTGGGGCAGAGAGCTAAACCTTAGCTAGGAATTAAGGAGACTAAGAAAAGAGTCATCTTATAAGTGTTTTGAGGTAGAGGAAGAGAGCTATGTTAGTTCATTTCCCCAAAACCAAACGAGAAATATGGATAGTCATTGTCTATGAAATTGAGAGAAGTCAAGAAAAATTACTAATTGCAAAACCTGTTCAATTTACAAAAAGAAAAAGTTTGATCACCTAAGAACAGAGGTTGCAAACTAGCAGGCTTTTTTTTTTGAGACAGAGTCTCACTCTGTTGCCTGGGCCAGAGTGCCCTGGCGTTGGCCTAGCTCGCAGCAACTTCAAACTCCTGGGCTTAAGCAATCCTCCTACCTCAGCCTCCCAAGTAGCTAGGACTACAGGTGCACACCACCATGCCTGGCTAATTTTTTTCTATTTTTAGTAGAGTCGAGGTTTTGCCCTTGCTCAGGCTGGTCTCGAACTCCTGACCTCAAGCAGTCCTCCTGCCTTGGCCTCCCAGAGTGCTAGGATTACAGGCGTGAGCCACTGTGCCTGGGCTTTTAAAGACATTTTGAATTGGTTATCAACATAAATGAGATGATTACCCATGAAAACTTAGAATTTCTCACCTCTTTTCAAACTGAAAATCTGACTATGCTGGGCCAGTGTTTCTACATGGCAACAATTCAGCTATTACTAATAAGTGGCTGTCTCTTTTGTTTTTTTTCCTTGCCAAATTGCTTCTCACCTGAGAGAATAGCTGCCTCTTCTAGAAAGCCTGACTTCTCCAGTTTTACAATGTCTACTGTTCCATATATTTGTGTTATTTGCCTGACCATCCTCTGTCAGCATTTGGATTTTCAAGAAAAATCTGTTGATTTAGATCAAATCCACATTGATTTACACTGAGTATTCTTTTAGTCCTGCAGTTTCTTTCAATTCATTATATGAATCCTCACTCTTCATGTTTATTTTTTAGAGACTGCCTCCATTTGAAACATTTTCTCAGGGACCTACGTTGCAGTTCACTCTTCGTTGGACAGGAGAGACCAATGATAAATCTACAGCTCCTATTGCTAAGCCTCTTGCCACTAGAAATTCAGAGAGTCTCCATCAAGAAAACAAGCCTGGTTCAGTTAAACCTACTCAGACTATTGGTAAGAAAATACTGTCAAAATAATGGTTTGTAAAAAAATTTAAAAATAAACATAATCATTTGTAGAGTTAGGTCTTATGGTTTAGATTAGTTCATTTGTGTTTCGTGCCATGTGATTATTTTTTGGAAAATATTATTTGGCTTATTAGATAGATTATGAGCCTCGGTAAATTAGGGTTCTCCTATATTAAATGTAAAGTTTTGTGTTGAAGTACTGATCAGTAATTCTTTATCTACAACCTTTGTGCCAGATTTGTCTGAGAATTTCAATTTTAATATTTTAGAAGCATGATGTGGTATATAGTATATGTGCCATATATAACACCTCCAAGTAGAGTTCTCATGTTAACTTAGGACAAGTTTTTCCACTAAACAAATTTGCCAGAAACTCAGGAGGAAACGATTGCTTTTCAGATTGGTTTTAAGATTTTGGAATTGCAGGTATAAAGGACTTTGGGGCTATACTTTTTATTATTCATGTAAAAATTTTTTTGTGTTGTAGAACTGTATTCAGTATTTCATAGTGTTTCTACAATTTTAGGCCTGGAAGAGGGTCATCAAAACCTGGATTTACCAGGTTAAATTTTGCAGTGAATTTTTTCTTTCCTCCTAGCAAAACTGCCAGGAGATGCAGTCAATTTTTTTTTTTTTTTTTTGAGACAGTCTCACTGTGTTGCCCAGGCTAGAGTACCGTGGCATCATCCTCGCTCACAGCAACCTCAAACTCCTGGGCTCAAGCGATCCTCCTGCCTCAGCCTCCCGAGTAGCTGGGACTACAGGCATGCGCCACCATGCCTGTAATTTTTTCTATATATTTTTAGTTGTCCAATTAATTTCTTTCTATTTTTAGTAGAGACGGGGTCTCGCTCTTGCTCAGGCTGGTCTCGAACTCCTGAGCTCAAACAATCCGCCTGCCTCGGCCTCCAAGAGAGCTAGGATTACAGGCGTGAGCCACCGCGCCTGGCCTGCGTAAATTTTTAAGAGGAGAGATTTAGGGAAATTTTTTAAAAGAGCTACAAATGGAGTTAGCTCTCTGCTGAGTTTCAGCCCCAAGTTACAATATTCTGTCATTTTATATGTGTCTGATAGGAACACTGTCCTTGATCGTAGAACATTTTATCTGTCTGTTTAAAGAAGTCAGAAGGCTTAAGATGTTGTCTTTGACATTAACCATTCATCTTCATTCATTGTGTGCAGATCATTGTTTTGGTCAGATTAAAAAGATATAAGAAATGGCCTGTGTCAGGGGAAAGATTTCCCAGTAAATTATAGTCTGCTTCTCAAAATACTCTGAAGCTAGTGTAATAGGTCAAAGAGTTACAAAGAAACTAAGAAAAAAGTTTTATAGAAACTGTACATGTAGGATGATTATGTCAGGAAAAATAAATACCTTTTTCCCTTAAAAGGAAATATACCATCATCATTCTCCTTTAGATTTGGATTAATTTTAATATAATCATTTTTACTTTATTTCTGGTAAACCGGCACTTAGTTGAATGACTGTATTCCTAATCCCCAGCAATGAGCAAAAATCAATAAAACTATACTCTGACCTCAAAGTGCTTAAAGCCGCATAGTGATCACATATAATTACTTTGGGTTACTTTTATAATGGTTTAGGACAATGGAGGATGTGTTTAAAGGAAAAAATGGGCCCTGCCAATGAAAGAAAACCTTTAACCTCTGATTAGGGGTGCTGATTATAAGACGACTGTTCCTGTGATCATCAGTTGAGGGAGGAAACAGAAAATGTGTTAAATACCACAAGGAGAATTCTATGAAACTTTCAGTGTTTAATCATTTTTGTGAGATATGTTATTTCACTTTTTAAAAGCAAGTATTTTTATTAAATATAAAAGTGTATATTTTCAGCTGTTAAAGAATCATTGACTACAGATCTACAATCAAGAAAAGAAAAAGATACTTCAAATGAAAACAGACAAAAATTAAGAATATTTTATCAGGTAAACATAGCTGATCCTTTTTTAAGTAATCATGAAATGCATTTTTTATGTTAAATCTGAAATTTTTGGCATATTTAAATAGAAAGTATTGCTGATTTGATTTTCCTTTTCAATTGTTTTAACTTTTTAGAAGTGATAGTGAAACAAAATATCTTGATATGTAAGTTAGAGATTTGCTATTTTTTGTTTTTGTTTTTTTAGTTCCTTTATAATAACAATACGAGACAACAAACTGAAGCAAGAGATGACCTGCACTGCCCTTGGTGCACTCTGAACTGCCGCAAACTTTATAGTTTACTCAAGCATCTTAAACTCTGCCATAGCAGATTTATCTTCAATTATGTTGTGAGTAAAATTTATTTTTTCTTACCAGTAATATACATTAAATATAAGACAACCTGACTTCTAAAAATTGTAGTTTGTGTAAAAATACCAAAATTTCTTCATTTGATAGATTGTTATATGCATGAAATACAGTGAATGATTCAGAGTTTATATTTGTAATAAAAGTATTTACATAGTGTACCTGTATTGACTCACAAAATCCTTACAGCAGCTCTTTTAATTAAGTGGTAATTTTCTTCTTCTTGCCTAGGCAAGAAGTAATTTATACAGTCACCAAGCTAATAAATGGCACAGTCAGTATTTTAACACATCTTGTTGACTCGAGTTCTTCTGACTTCCTGTTTACCATGCTGATATTCCCGGCTCATTTAATTTTTCAAAACATTAAGAACCAACAAATTCTTTTTAATTAAATAAATTGGAGGGGTAGGTATTTAGGGCAGGATAATTAATATTTTCTTTTCCTAAACACCTTACTGTTTTTGTTACAGTATCATCCAAAAGGTGCTAGGATAGATGTTTCTATCAATGAGTGTTACGATGGCTCCTATGCAGGAAATCCTCAGGATATTCATCGCCAACCTGGATTTGCTTTTAGTCGCAATGGACCAGTAAAGAGAACACCTATCACACACATTCTTGTGTGCAGGTATGTAAAAAGGCATACAACAAAAGTTTGCCTGACTTTTATCAGTGATGTTAGAGGAAAAAAGGGGAGCCAGACAAAACTACTAGTTCGGTGGAAATCATTATTTTCCTATGATAGGTAAGTTTTTGGGGTAATACACTGCTTTATAGCTCTTTTTGGCTCCTTCTGCTACAGGGGTTTTGTCACATCCTCCTTATAGCTTTATCCTTGAGATTTGACTATTAATGTCACTACTTCTACAGTGGTTAATGGGATTAAGGAATTTTCCTAGTGGAAGTTTCTGTGTGCACATCTAGGTGGGAACCTGCTAGACAGGGGCATACTTTATCTTGGTAGTGTGAAATATAAAGAACTCTATTCTTGTTATTTAATATTTCATATGATAGTATCCTTTTAGGTAATACCTGAGACTGATTCTCCATCCATTAGGCTTTATAGTCATAGTGGTATGTTCACAGCAGTAGATTTGACTGCTGAGATTAAAATTATAAAGGAATTTTTTATATTTGTAAAAAATTTTTTATATTTGTAAAAAAATTTTGAAGAAACAAAATTCCTGAACAGGTATGTGCGTGTGTAACCAGTGTTATAGTTTTTCTACTTTGTGAATGTATATGTGTTAGAATACACAATTTTTTTTTTTTTTTGAGACAGAGTCTCACTCTCTTGCCTGGGGCGAGTGCTGTGGCATCATCCTAGCTCACAGCAACCTCAAACTCCTGGGCTCAAGCGATCCTCCTGTCTCAGCCTCCCAAGTAGCTGGGGCTACAGGCATGCGCCACCATGCCCGGCTCATTTTTTTCTGTATATATTTTTAGCTGTCCAATTAATTTCTTTCCATTTTTGGTAGAGACGGGGTCTCGCTCTTGCTCAGGCTGGTGAGCTCAGAACGATCCGCCCGCCTCGGCCTCCCAGAGTGCTAGGATTACAGGCGTGAGCCACCACGCCCAGCCAGAATACACAATTTTGACATGTAGGATTTTATATGCATATTCCTATCTGAATGTGCCCTAACTAGCACCTCATTTCTTTTTCACCTTTTCAACCATGTTTATTTTTTTTTTTTAAAGTTTATTCTACACACCCACAAAGACAGATTTATCTTTAAAACTTTGGTGTTTAAATTGATATGTTAATAGGTTTATTTTATATTATGTATAGAAAGAGAATAATTTGGGGGGGAGGTTGCTGCAAATACCATTGTTTTGTGGTTAGTTTTATAAAATGGTAATACAATGATATTGCACATTATTGCAGATCTCAACTCATAGTCATGAGGTTAGATGATACAAATGTAGATGCCATATTACATCAACATTTATTTCTTTTCATTAGGCCAAAACGAACAAAAGCAAGCATGTCTGAATTTCTTGAATCTGAAGATGGAGAAGTAGAACAGCAACGAACATACAGTAGTGGCCACAATCGCTTGTATTTCCATAGTGATACCTGCTTACCTCTCCGTCCGCAAGAAATGGAAGTAGATAGTGAAGATGAAAAAGATCCTGAATGGCTAAGAGAAAAAACCATCACAGTAATTATTATTACTATCTTTATTGGCAATGATCTTAGAATTTTATTAGTAAATGAATTTTGTTTGAAAACTATTGTTTAATGTAAACTAGACTTTTGACTTAATGTAAAAGAGTTTTTCCCTAAAATAAGGAATCCTGGAATGCATAATTTTCACAGTTGGGTCATTTTTAAAGTTACCAAGTAAAGGAAATACAGCTTCATATGAATTTGTATCATGTATTTTCTTTCTATATTTGTGGGTAACTTTTATAACTTAGGATTTCCCTTTTAAAATTACTACTTAAATAGAAATTGGTTTTAAGAAAATGTTGCCACTTTGCTGTATAAATAAATATACTGTGGTATTTTCAGTTCCAAAACATTCTAATTTTGACATTCTCACAAGTTTTTCTGCATTTAATAGGTTTTTTTCTTTTTCTTTCTTTCTTTTTTTTTTTTTTTAGCAAATTGAAGAATTTTCTGATGTTAATGAAGGAGAGAAAGAAGTTATGAAACTATGGAATCTCCATGTCATGAAGCATGGGTAGGGTATTTCTAAATTGATTTAAATTTTTTGTTATTCTTTATTTTCTTTTGCTACTTCACATTCTATAAATCTTCCTTTGTTTGAATCTTATTTAAAATTTGATTAGTTTAGATATGTATCTCAAATCCTATTCTAGTCCAAAGTATTTTAATTGGATAAGGAAAAATAGTGATGCTCAGAAAATTTATAAAGAAGGTGCTAGTTCCTAGCTCCATCAAACAGAATGTTTGTAAAGGGCCTTGGATTTCTTCCTTTCTTTCAGTATTTACATGAAAAATAATGTTACCACTAGTTGAATTGAATTTAACTTTTTCGCATATTGTGACTTAATGTACAAGCAGAATAATATCTAAAAGCTTATTAGAGTAATATGTCCTTTATTAATTAATGACAGGGTCTCACTCTGTTGCCCAGGCTCAAGTGCGGTGACACCATCGTAGCCCACTGCAGCTTCTAACTCCTGGGCTCAAGCAGTCCTCCTGCCACAGCCTTCCAAGTAGCTGGGACTACAGGCGTGTACTACCACCCCACCTCTAAATTTTTTTTTTTTTTTTTTTTTTTTGGTAGGGACTGGGTCTCAATGTTGCACAGACTGAGTCCTTTTTTAAAATGACCAATTTGGCCGGGCACGGTGGCACATGCCTGTAATCCTAGCTCTCTGGGAGGCCGAGGCGGGCGGATTGTTTGAGCTCAGGAGTTCGAAACCAGCCTGAGCAAGAGCGAGACCCCGTCTCTACTAAAATTAGAAAGAAATTAATTGGACAACTAAAAATATATAGAAAAAATTAGCTGGGCATGGTGGCGCATGCCTGTAGTCCCAGCTACTCGGGATGCTGAGGCAGGAGGATCACTTGAGCCCAGGAATTTGAGGTTGCTGTGAGCTAGGATGATGCCATGGCACTCTAGCCCGGGCAACACAGGGAGATTCTGTCTCAAAAAAAAAAAAAACGACCAATTTGCATTCCTTTTATTGCGAGGGAATACAAAAATAATATGCCATGTGCTATAAGACTGGATGTCATAAAAATTACTTATCACAGTTATTACTATTATATACTTGGGGGGGGTTGGGGGAAAAAGGTCTCACTCTCTCACCCAGGCTGAAGTACAGTGGTGCAATCATAGGTCACCATGGCCTCCAAGTCCTGGGCTTAAGCAATCCTCCCACCTCAGCCTCCCAGATACCTGGGACTACAAGAGTGCGCCACCATGCCCAGCTAATTTTTAAAATTTTTTTTATAGAGACAGGATCTCGCTTTGTTGCCCAAGCTGGTCTCAGACTCCCGTCCTTAAGTGATCCTCTTGCCTTGGCTTCCCAAAGTGCTGGGATTACAGGCTTGAGCCACGGTGCCTGGCCAGTTATTACCACAATTTTACTCAGAATAAATATATGGCTTTTCTGATTTCTCATTTCTTTACCATTTTATAAAGGTCAGGGTAGAACAATTTTATTTCTCATGCTTTTGTTGCTAAAAGTATGTTCCCAACCATTGTTTTTTCCTACAGATCTGCCTCCTTCCCTGTGCGAACCATTTACCTATCATTATACATTTTTCTTCTCTACCTTCTTTATTATAAAATCCTCATTTAAGGCTTTGTTCTACAACACATACATCTATGGTTTTTTCATTTATAGATAAATGAAATAAATGGCAGGGGAGAGCACCTTTTTTTTTTACTTTTAGGGAGTGAAGAGGAGTTGGTGTGTAAGTTCTAGTATGGGTGTATGACCTGTTAGCCTATTTCTGTACTGCCCTTAGGCTATGAATACTATTTACATTTTTAGTGGGTTGTACAAAAGAGAAAAGACAGAGATCAACATAGGGCTTGTGTTTACTCCATGGTGTTTTACAGATAGTTTGCCTGACTACTGTTCTAGTCATTAAAACTCAGTTATGAGTGAAGTGTGTGGAGGGTTGGGTTAAATGTGTTTTTTCTTTTGTCCTAATATGCCAGTTTAAAGATAGAATTTTAGTCAGATCACTTCATTCAGTTCTGTTTGAATTCATTGATCTAAATCAGTTAGTGTAACAACTATCGGGGTTTACTGTATAGTGGCATAATAAAGTAGCAGGTAGTTGGTTAAACTTATTTGATATTTTAACATCTGCACGTAGGCCTTACAGACTCCCTGTTGGACTCTCAGTGTCAGTGGGTAACTGAGCAATTACTCTATTTGGTTCTCTTCGTATTTCATTAATCATACATTTAACCCACTCACCACCAACACAACCACATTAACATCACTTGTTGTGACACCTTCATTTTTTCAAAGGTTTCCCATGAACTTAAGATGTAGAGAGGCACTACTTCTTTAATAGGAAAGTATGTCAAGATCAAGGGAGGGGAATTGCTAATGTGTACAGAGTTCATAGAAATGGTGTTGGCGAAAGAAGATATTTTATACATTTAAGGCTCTTGTAACTAATTTGATTAGGAAAACAGAAATGATATCTACCGCTCTAATGGCACCTGTTTAAGCTCTGGTTAGACTAAATCTTTTTTAAAAAATTTATAAGATGGTAAGCTCATTAGGATTATTGAATCTCACTTTCACTATGGTTTTACTGCTTGTTAAATCATTTACTGGATTTGGATATAGTCTTATTCTATAATGGTTATCACTATTGTATTTGACAAAAGTGCTTTGTATCGCTATTGATGTTTTGTTTTTATTAAATAGGTTTATTGCTGACAATCAAATGAATCATGCCTGTATGCTGTTTGTAGAAAATTATGGACAGAAAATAATTAAGAAGAATTTATGTCGAAACTTCATGCTTCATCTAGTCAGCATGCATGACTTTAATCTTATTAGCATAATGTCAATAGATAAAGCTGTTACCAAGCTCCGTGAAATGCAGCAAAAATTAGAAAAAGGGGAATCTGCTTCCCCTGCAAATGAAGAAGTAACTGAAGAACAAAACGGGACAGCAAATGGATTTAGTGAAATTAACTCAAAAGAGAAAGCTTTGGAAACGGATAGTGTCTCAGGGGTTTCAAAACAGAGCAAAAAACAAAAACTCTGAAAAGACCTAACCCCATTTTATGGACAAACACTGAAATTGCATTTTAGGGAATTCAGCCTCTAAGAAGAATTGTGTTTTTATTTTTAATCATAGGTTCCAAACAGGCACTGTTAGATGAAGTAAATGATTTCAACAAGGATATTTGTACCAGGTTCTACTTCATTTCATTATGCAGCATTACATGTATGTCAGTTTTACTGCTGTCATTAAAACATTCTCTAGTTTGAGCATGAAAGCAATACTTCAGAGAAAGTATTTTTAACTTCAAGAATTGTTTATGAAATATATTGAATTGATAATCTAGAAATTATTTCCTATATTTAAATTATAATGTTTTTTGCATTTGTGAGTGACTGGCTGTTTTTCTATTTTGTAATTGTGAGAAATTTTCTTGGGGAGGGAAAATTGGAATGTGATTCCCTTTTTTAGAAATTGAAGGATTTTTGTGAAATTATGTTGCATTACTATTTGCAATCAAACCTTGATCCTTGTTTTTGAAATCATTTATCAATTTGGAATGAAAAATTACAACATTACGTAAGTTCATTTTACAATTTTAAAATAGCACTTCTTCATCTTATGCCTGTTTGAGAAGATATTAATTTTTCACATTATTGACAGTGAAATGCCATGTTGGTTTATAAGGTGACTGACCATTTGTTTCCATGTGTATAATTTTAGTGCATTGCTCACCCAGTACATATTTTTTAAACTTGAACGTTTTTCTGGTTTGGGTTTTTCTTTTTTAATTAGATAATCCATGGAAAATTCAGCTGTTCACATCTTTAAATTAGGATTGTAAACCAAGGGAAGAATGAGTGTGAGGTTTTAAGATGCCACTTTCAAGGGGGGGGAGTGTCCTATAAAAATGAACCAGAAAATGTTATACCTTTTTTTTCTTTACAAGGATGTCTTTGTAATGTATTTCATGATTAGAATATCCAATACAGATAAGCTGACTTGAATCATTTTGAGCAATTTTGCCCTGTGTTATATGTGTTTTATGCACATACTTGCAGTTGGATTTTCTCCAACAGAAAGTGGTTTCACTACTGGCACATTAACAAGCACCAATAGGGTTTTATTCCAACTCCAAGCACTGTGGTTGAGTAACATCACCTCAATTTTTTATTAACCTTAAAGATATTGCATTTTCATATTCTTTATTTATAAAGGATCAATGCTGCTGTAAATACAGGTATTTTTAATTTTTAAATTTCATTCCACCACCATCAGATGCAGTTCCCTATTTTGTTTAATGAAGGGATATATAAGCTTTCTAATGGTGTTTTCAGAAATTTATAAAATGTAAATACTGATTTGATTGGTCTTTAAGATGTGTTTAACTGTGAGGCTATTTAACTAATAGTGTGGATGTGATTTGTCATCCAGTATTAAGTTCTTAGTCATTGATTTTTGTGTTTAAAAAATAGGAAAGAGGGAAACTGCAGCTTTCATTACAGACTCCTTGATTGGTAAGCTCTCCAAATGATGAGTTCCTTCCAGTAAATTCTGATTTGCCTCTGGATAGTGGATCTCAAGCATTTCTCTCGGGCTTTAATTTGCTAAAGCTGTGCACATATGTAAAAAAAAAAAAATAGATTATTTTAGGGGAGATGTAGGTGTAGAATTATTGCTTATGTCATTTCTTAAGCAGTTATGCTCTTAATGCTTAAAAGAAGGCTAGCATTGTTTGCACAAAAAGTTGGTGATTCCCTCCCCCAATAGTAATGAAATTACTTCTGTTGAGTAAACTTTTTATGTCATCTTATAATAAAAGCTGAAAAAATCCCTTTGTTTCTATTTATAAAAAAATGCTTTTCTATATGTACCCTTGATAACAGATTTTGAAGAAATCATGTAAGATGATAAAGCATTTGAATGGTACAGTAGATGTAAAAAAAATTCAGTTTAAAAGAACGTTTGTTTTTACATTAAATGTTTATTTGAAATCAAATGATTTTGTACATAAAGTTCAATAATATAAAAGCTGTATTCTGTTTTGTTTTTTCTTGTTATTATGCATTGTTAATGCATGCATTAAAATTTTGGTTTAGATAGCATAGTAAGAATCCAGAAAAAGTACACCAGCCTCAAATGATGAATCAGAGCTAAAAAGAAATTAAGAAAAAATTAATGTGAAATCCTGCTTTCATCAGTTGCAAGTAGTATATGTCATTTATGGTAATACATAAATATTTAAAAATTTATATACTTCAGAGTAATGTCAGTATTAGTCAACCAAACAGCTATGGCTTGGTTGTGCATCTTTGGTTGTAGATTTTTTTCTTTTCCATTTTCTTTTTTTTTTTTGAGACAGAGTCTCGCCCTATTGCCCAGGTTAGATTGCCTTGGCATCATAGCTCACAGCAACCTCAAACGCCTGGGCTCAAGCAATCCTCCTGCCTCAGCCTCCCGAGTAGCTGGGACTATAGGCATGAGCCACCATGCCCGGCTATTTTATATATATATATTTTTTTTTTTTTTTTTTAGTTGTCCAGCTCATTTCTATTTTTTTAGTAGAGACGGGGGTCTAGCTCTTGCTCAGGCTGGTCTCAAACTCCTGAGCTCAAATGATCCACCTGCCCTCGGCCTCCCAGAGTCCTAGGATTACAGGAGTGAGCCACCGCACCCTGCCCCTCCTATTTTTAAATAAGCATATACCCCTTTGGTAGATTTATTGCTTATTACTCCAGAGAAAAGGTGAATTTATACAGGTATGAGAATAAAAGTTTTTTATATTTTGATACTTAAATTTATGAATCACTTAGTGTAGGACTTAGAATGTAACCGGGGTCCAGCAAATATTAGCTCATTTCTTCACTAATCCAACCAAGAGTTTCTTTTGTGTGGGTTTCTAAATGACCCGTATTTCTCTTATTTGGGGAGCTGATTCTTTTGTGAAGCCTTTTAGGGGAAGGATCATGGTTGCCATGTGGGTTATGAGGCTTACGGAGCATTATTTCTTCATTAAACACTCAGTACCTAGTATGGCCTATGCATTAGCTAGGCATGGGGATACAAAGATAAATAAGCCAGATACTGTTCTCATCCTTAGGCATCTTAGATTCTAGAGAGGAAGACATTCATTTACATTTTACTAAGTCATGTCCCATAGTGTCTAATCTCAGACTAGTGTCCTGGGACATAGGGAATATAGTGGAAGAATTATGGGTTTTGGAATTAGGCTTGGGGTTGAATATCAACTTTGGTGTGTTTGCAGCTTCATAACTCAGAAAGTTATTTAACCACACTGAGTGTTTCCTCAACTGTAAAATGGGATTAAAGTACCTTCCTCAACAAGGTACCTAGCACAATAACTGTTCCTTGGTTAGCATCACTATTCCCTTCTCTACGACCAAACCATTTGGCCTATTTCAGTCCTCTACTCCCGCCTCTGAAGAAAAATCATGTGCTAAATAGTATAAGCTTGTTTCTTCTTCCAAAGCTATTTTAAGAACATAGAAGTCTCTTGAGGGACTAATTCTAACTCTCCTACAAAACCACAACTTTTCTAACATTGCTTTATACAAAATTAATGCATAGACGTGGCATATAAAAGTCAATTTTGCTTTAATTGACATTTAATTTCATGGAATAAAAGCTTTTGTTAGTTTTACTGAATATAGTTTTTGTCTTTTAAAAAGAAAAGTACTAGCTTTAGTTCAAAAATATTTACCAGACATCCACATATCAGGAAATGTAGGCTACTAGGTAGGTCCCAGACTTTTGGATTTTACAGACCAGTAATATAGTCTTTAAATGTTTTCCTTTTGCCGGGCACGGTGGCTCACGCCTGTAATCCTAGCACTCTGGGAAGCTAAGGCAGGCAGATTGTTTGAGCTCAGGAGTTCGAGACCAGCCTGAGCAAGAGCGAGACCCTGGCTCTACTAAAAATAGAAAGAAATTAATCGGACAACTAAAAATATATGGAAAAAATTAGCCGGGCATGGTGGCGTAGGCCTGTAGTCCCAGCTACTCGGGAGGCTGAGGCAGGAGGATCGCTTGAGCCCAGGAGTTTGAGGTTGCTGTGAGCTAGGATGACGCCACGGCACTCTAGCCCGGGCAACACAGTGAGACTCTGTCTCAAAAAAAAAAAAAAATAAATGTTTTCCTTTCTATTTTGTCATACAAGAATATTTACAAACAAAACAAGAAAACTTGCTATTTCATTTTATAAAAGGACACAGTACAAAAAAGCCCAATAATTTCAGAACAAAAGATAGTCTTTTAAGAGAATAAAACCGCTATGGAGACTTTTATTGCTTTGGAGCAGTGACTCCTAAATTTGCCTTCACAATAGAATCATCTAGTTTCTTAAAAAGGAAAGTAACAGGAGGCCAGGCGTGGTGGCTCACACCTGTAATCCTAGCACTCTGGGAGGCCGAGGTGGGAGGATTGCTTGAGCTCAGGAGTTCGAGACCAGCCTGAGCAAGAGTGAGACCCCATCTCTACTAAAAATAGAAAGAAATTGGCCAAACAACTAAAAATAGAAAAAATTAGCAGGGCATGGTGGCGCATGCCTGTAGTCCCAGCTACTCGAGAGGCTGAGGCAGAAGGATCGCTTGAGCCCAGGAGTTTGAGGTTGCTGTGAGCTAGGCTGACGCCACGGCACTCTAGCGCGGGCAACACAGTGAGACTGTCTCAAAAAAAAAAAAAAGGAAAGTAACAAAATAAAACAAGCCTGAGGTCCACTGAGACCAATTAACTTAGAATTTTTGCTATGTGGGTACAAAAATATACTTAGAATGAACACTATTTGATAGCACAACAAAGTGACTATGATCAACAGTAAGTTAGGGTGTACTTTAAAATAACCAAAAGTGGAAGTGGAATATTCCTAACACAAATGTTAAATGCCTGAGGTGATGGATCCCCCAATACTCTGATTTGATTAATTCATATTGTATGCCTGTATCAAAACATCACATGTACCCTGTATAGACATACAACTATTATGTACCCATAGTAATTAAAAATAAAAAATTTTTAAGAAAGCTCTCCAGGTGATTATAATGTGTAGCTAAGGTTGAGAACAACTGCTACAGAAGATACAAAACCTCAAATAATTTATAATCTAGTGGGTTTAAACCAGGTATCAAGGACGTTGGTCCTTTGAGATGGGAGTCTGCCAACCTCTTCATTTGCTGGCAAATTAATAAACTCCTCTTTCCTTCGCCTCAAAAAAAAAAAAAAGCAGATATCACAAATACACAGAGGGTTGACAATTAAATGAGTTACACAGCTGGGATTATACCAATTTAGAAAGACTGGAAACAAAGAGAAGATAACATAGTCTTCCAAAGAGAAAAAACATACAACATACAAAAGAACAAACAAATGGCATTACACTTCTCAACACCAGAATCTAGAAGACAATGGGGCATTCAGAT